TTTCAAGAGCTGACTATGATTTGTTTCAAAATGTCTGTTTACATTCCACGTTCTGCTCACTACCGTTTCATTACACATTATGCACAATGATCTATTGTTTCTGTCGATAATTCAGTACAGCTCGGTCCATATGTCTTGAAAAGGCTGGCTACTGCTACTCCCACTTCTTTTATCATTCAATCTTGCGTTTTCTATTTTTTGATTCTCCATTACAAGGCTGTAAAAATAAACATAAATCACGACGTTTTTTAATAAAAGGTTGATAGGTTTCTTACCAATTAACTTTTTGCAATGTTGTTGCACTGACCCCTGATACAAAATAATTTAAAGATGTTTGTAGAACCAACAAATATGTATTTTACGTCATATGCAAAATATCTCAACAAGTACTGTTGCACTATATATCTGGCGCGGACATATGGCAGTAGCATGGCGGAGACGTGGCGCTGACCTTATCTGCTAAAATTAATAGAAGTGGTGGCAACGTGGCGAAAATACATCTGCACCCAACGATTATAAAATATTATCTGATTCTGACTAAGATATTTTAGCTCGTATTCATTTAAATAATAATCAAGAAAAAAGTTTTAGGTTTATAGTTGTAAAAGAGAAAATAATATGACAAATATTTGAATTATTCAATTTTTCATCTGTCAATGCGTGTCACCCAAAATGAGCTCGTGTGTCACTTCTGACACGCATCATAGGTTCGCCATCACGGCTATAGAATAGGCTAATGAAACTAGATTTCAAAAATATTAAAAATAATCAAATTTAAAATTATGACACTTACGTGTTGCGGCGTTATTGACAGCGATTTGTTAAATTTCAGATAATATCTGAAATTTAACAAATCACTGTCAATAACGCCGCAACACGTACGTGTCATAATTTTAATTTCTAAAGGCTGGCATGAAGTGAACTATATTTTCATTAATAATCAAATTTAATTCACACATTCATAATTAATTTTTCGAAAAATCCCCCCCACGGGGGAAGTGTTATACATTTATAGTAGATACATTTTGAGTCACAACAACATGTGGCGGGGTCTGCTAGTTATTTTTATATATTTAATTTGACTTATTTCATAAAGTTCATATTAAATGTGTTAAAATTTTTATGTAGGATAAACAATTTGGAAAGGTTTCTCTTCATCGTCCGCATGATAATCCACCTGCAGAAGTACATACTAGTCTTAGAGCATATAAAAATTATTTGTTATCAAAAGCTTATAAAGGAGAGACATTTTTTTGGTCTTTATTACCACAACCAGGAGATAATGTGACATTTTATTTTAATCCATCTATTAAAATTGAGAAGTAAGTTATTTTAGTTTGTAAACTATATTTATACTTAGTTCATTATTTTCTGTGTTATAAAGAATACAGTATATTAAATTTCATACTTTATTGAGAAAATTCTAATAATTTTAATAAATTTTGTATTCCCTATATCAGTGTTTTTCAACCTTCTTGAATACACGACCCCTTTACAAGTTAAAAAATTCTGGCGACCCCCCAGGGCCATATTTAAACTATATTGGTGATTTTAAAAACTACGTATTTAATTTTCTTTCTTTAAATATTGATTGAAAAACCAATTGTCCTATAAAATAAACAGGCACAGCCTTCTCACTGAAATTCTAGTTTTTTTTTATTGTAGCGTAGGACCTACAAACACTAGTCTTTTTCTTTCACCCACGACCACCCTGGGGGTTGCGACCCACAGGTTGAAAAACACTGCCCTATATTATATCTAATCTGCTGTATCTTTGAATATGTACTGTACTTTATTTATTTATATTTGTTATTTGTTATATTGCTTAATTATGGACTATCATCCATAATTAAGCAATTTTACTTTATTATGTAATGTTATTGTTTTGAATAAATCTGTATATTTACATATTATGCTTTTGTCCACTGTGGATGTTCTTGTGATCTAGGACTTGTTATATTGAGTGAAAAGAAACACATCATTTTGAATTAAGATATATTTATTATATCTTAATTCGAAACGGTATGTTTCTCTTCCCTCAGTATAACAAATTCTAGTTCACAAGAACATCCACAATGGACAAAAGCATAATATATGTAATTAAGGACAAGAAGCATATATTAAACTGCATATTTATAGTTTAAATCAATTATACAGTAAATTTTAAGTTATTTTTAATTATATTTAAATACAGTAGAGCATCGATTATCCGACCCCCGATTAACCATCACATCGGTTAACCGACCGTTCTAGTCAGCAAAATTCAAATGTCCACTAGTGATGTGGCACTACAATATTTGGCTATGTCTTGGCTACTTTATTATTATTTTATTAAATTTTTGCATGTTTTAGCTGGCATCAACGGCTCGACCATTGAAGGGAGGCCAGTATTTAAACGAGACTTAATTATCTAATTATGAGTGGTTGTTTGTTTTGTGAGCAATAAAATAACTTAAAAATAATTTTTAACGATACAATAGCGACTATTATTATTTTAAAAATAAATTTGTTAGGCTTAACATCGATGAAAATTCAACACGAAGTTAATTAATAGCGATATACTAATTGCATGGGATATACTATACTAATAATATATTTTTTTCATTCTTTTCGGTTATCTGATTTTTTCAGTTATCCGACCAACCTGAGACCCCAATTCAGTCGGATAATAGATGCTCTACTGTATTATGTTTATTATCCACATCAATAGTAGGATTTGCATATTAATTTACTATGTATATTTTCATTGTTACATATGAAATTATACTCTTATTTTTAAATTATTTTTTAGAAATATTTTAGCTGCCTGATTATTGTTTTTATAATATAAATGAAGTCTTATTATTTATTTTAAAGTACTTATTAATAAATACTACTTATTAAAATAATTAATGTATATAAGTTATTTTGAAGTATTTGATCAACTGATTTATTTAAATTGTGCATTATTCATGAATTTATTTTATTATTAGACTATGATTCACATTTAATGACTGGTATTAATACTCTGCATTACATCATTTTTAATCATTTTCACACAAATTAGTCAGACACAAAACTTATAAATATACAAATTTCTTCTTCAACTTTTGTGTACATAATCAATGAATGGACACCATTTTGATACAGACTCTGAGGAATTGCATTTCTTTTGTTCTTAGCTAGTAGCTATTGTTGTTAGATCAGTTTATCGTGTAAATATTCCTTTCAGATAATTGTGTGTATATTACACACAAATTTATGATAAGATAAAATGATTATAAAATTTAAATTACATATACAAATGACTCTCTTAATTCATTACCAAAATAATTAAACCAATAACTTGAACTAAATGATTTTTAAATGTGGTGTTTTCATAAATTTATTATTATTACTATTATTATGAAAAAACATTTGATCTCGAAAATATTATTTCCAATGAGTTACTTATTTATTGAATTATAGAATTAGGTTTTTTAACTTTGTTTAAATAAGATGACCTGAGGAGTAAATGACCAGCTACTAGTGAATGACTACCATGGTCATTTGCAGGAATTCTAAGTTAATGTGTCAAATCCATACATGTAAGTTACATCTCATTAATTAGAAAAAAATAGCAACCATACAAAATAATCCTGAACTATTGGGTTGAACCGAAAGTTCGTTCAGGTATTTACATAATAACTCGTCTGTGGCGCCTTTGTCATGCTTATCAGGTTTTAATTTGTTTAGGTTGATATTACAAATATTTGCACATTTATTACATAAGTTTAATAACAAAATTTTAAAAAGTAGCTGTAATCTTTCAAGAAAAATATCATTAAAATGGAAGATAAGAAGGTGCATTTTTGATATTTCCTACTCTATTATTTCCAAAAAGGGAAAAAATGCAACAAAAACTAAAAAAGATGTGTGCTATATATGGGGAGGATGCAGTTACTGATCAAACATGCCAGAAATGGTATTCAAAATTCAGGGAGGGAGATTTTTCACTCAAAGATGCACCTCGGTCAGGACGGCCTTCAACCATAGAAGACGAGTTCGTAACAGCTTTAATTCAAAATGATCGGCGTAAAACAATGCAAGAGATAGATGTTTGGGATATTTTTAAGATGTTGGCTGTTGTCAGACATTTGGCTAGCCTTGGATACACTTCCCTTCATAATGATTAGGTCAATTTAGGTCCCCATCAATTAAGTGAATGAAACCTTATTGAGTGTGTTTCTGTTTGTGATTCACTTTTAAAACACAATGAAGGCAATACCTTTTTAAAGTGATTAATAACAGGCAATGAAAAATGGATCATTTACAACAATATTCAACACAAGAGATCTTGGAGTAAGCCAGGTGATCCTCCAGTGCCACAACCTAAAGCTAGTTTGCATCCCAGAAAAGTAATGATTTCAATTTGGTGGGACTGGAATTGGAAAGGGGTTCTTTATTACAAACTTTTACCCAACAACCAAATAATTAATTCCAATAAATATTGTCTCCAACTGGATGAACTAAAGGCTGCAGTGCATCAAAAACGTCCGGAACTTGCAAATCAACAGAGAGTGGTATTCCATCATGATAATGCAAGACCACACATATCGTTAAATGTACACCAAAGACCTCTAGACTTTAACTGGGATGTTTTGAGTCACCCTGCATATTTTCCAGATATTGTTCCCTCAGACTATCATCTTTTTCGTTCATGGCAAAATAATTTAAATGGCATAGAATTTCAATCTTTAGAAGGTATCAAAACCTTCTAAAGATTGAAATTCTATGCCATATCAATAATTTCTTTGTCAGAAACCCACCCAATTCTACCCAGATGGAATTATGAAACTACCTGTCAGGCAATGTTAGGTTATTGAACAGAAGGGTGAATACATAGAGGATTATAAATTTTTATTTATTTTATTTCTTTCTAAAAATCTAACAAACTTTCGATTCACCCAATACATCTTTACCTTAAATAGCCATTCCCTATATATCTTCTGACAGTTACAATTAAATAATTTAATTTTAATATAGGTTAAAGATATGAAGTTCAGAATATAAACTCAATTTATGTAAAGTTTTGTCATTTAAGTTTTTTTTTGTTAATGCAAAAGATTATTTAAAACAACAGTTATTGAAACAGGTTTGTTTATAATGTGTTTTTTATTTATTCATTACTGTTATAATATATTCATACTTATGTAAAATTTATTCTTCATATTTTTAAATGCAATATATTTTTCCTTCCAATTTTATTTAGATTCTTATTCAGAAGTGGCAATGCTGAGCATCCAGATGACAAATTTTTCAACACAACTGTTGAAATATTACCATCAGAGATTTTAGAAGACAATTCATATCCTGTAACAAGAGATGGTTATTTAATTGTTGGAAGTTTTAAAGATTCAAATGGTGTTGCAGAAGGAACTCTTAATACAAATATTGGCCCTATAAAAGTATTAAGATTAAATGTACATACTCAAAGTGATCGATGGGCCATTCTTAGTGAGGTAATATTAATATATAATTTTTCTTGTGTGTCATTCAGTTTAAACCTGGCCATTACATAATATTTACCTTGCTCTGGATATTACTTACTTTATTACTGTTGTTAACATTTACTGAGAATTTTTGCAATTTATTTTTAAAAATAATAATATGAATTCTAATTAATAAGCAAGAACGTCTGTCATCAAGTCATTGCAACAGATAATAATCATTTTAATATCAATTAGCAATTATTTAATTAATCACCTTTATTAATAGCAAACTACACCAAGTATTGATTTTATGAACATTACAACATTTTTTTTTTGCCAATATTAGCTAACTAATATATCTTAAGAATAAATAGTGATGGGACAATACCAAAATTTCTTCCAATTCATATTATGCTGAAAATTCCTGATTCTGATTCCAATTCTTTTGAATACAGTGGATGATCGGTTAATGAACAGTTCAGACTGCAAACAAATTGGCAACGAAGAACACTTCACAGAACAAACACAAAAAGAAAAGACATAAAATTACAAATGCCAATTGATTTTCCCTTGTCTTCAGGTAACAATTCAAAACCTTTTGAAGCGCGGGAGACATCAACATCGACGCTCAACCCGATACTGATTGGATAGTACTCCTTTAAACTTTGAAACTCTCTATTGTAATTCCAGCTTTTTGTTTACCTTTCTGACAATTTTTTATAGTCTTTGCGAGACTGTTGGGCACTCATTCAGCTGATTGCAGAGACAATGTTTAGAGGCTGATGGCAGTTTACAGATCAGGTAGACTGCAATTCAGAAAAATTTCATTGCAGAGATGTTTCTTGCTTGTCACAGTGTAGACAGCGATTATAAACAAGTTATTTGACCTACTTTCTATATTCACTCAATAGCAGGTTTAGAGGGTTTTTTAATTTGAGTGGTAATGTTGTTGGTGGAAAAGTTTAGATAAAAATGGAGATCATTCCTTTGATAAATGTTGTAAACAGTATGAATCGACAAAATTATTCATTAATTAATTGCTTGGAGCAAAAATAACAAAATTAAATACTTTAAATTTGTTTTAAATGTTCCAATTCTAATATTCAAATGGGTGAAGACTTTACAATTAATTTAAATCAGATGCATTTATTTACAATCCAAGTATCATGTCGGTTATAAAACGTTAATGCATTTTAGGGTCATTGTAGTTAAGCCTATAGTCAGAACATAATTTTAAAATTGTCTCGTTTGTTTAACAGTATCAAAATCTTTTTATAGAAATAAAAGAATGTAATAGTAATAATAAAATATTTTAAATTATTCATTTTGACAGTTACGAAGGGAGACAGTAATACAACATTGAAATAATTCCTTAAAAATCTATTCTGAAGACGAATTTCAAATTTGGTATAAATTTCCTAAATATGGATTTGTTCTTATTTTAAACCATATTGACAAAGTAATTAAATATCAAAATGGAAAAGGATTGTCATTAATTTCCGAACAGTGGTTGTTGACAGACTTAAGATTTTATTTTCGGAATCTTTCGGAATATAGCTGGCGACCTTTTCTGACATCACAAATGAATAACCCGATTGGCTGAATGACTCCTAAAACAGAGGAGTAATGGCCAAGAAAGTAAGAGCCACTGTTTTGCCAAAGTTTGTTTAGAGGGCATTTAGAAATAGTCTTTGCAACACATTTTAAACCACAGTTCAGCCAGCCAATGTCTACAGGCTGTTCTGTTGTTAAATGTTGTTTAATATAAACTCTGTCTCCTCTGCAGTCGCCTGATTAAGTTTTGCATCTGTTTTTATTTTTTAAAGGTGAGAGTTTAACATCCTATCTGATATTCATTAACGTTTTAACACCAAAATTTCAAATTTCATTTGGGCCTCATATTTACTTAATTCTTTCATGTGCTAGTTGATTTCTCTGAACTTTTTATTTCAAAAAGAAATTGATAATATTATAGAGCCTAAAAAGAGTGGTGTGTCAAGAACCATGCTCACCATAGAAACCAAATGAGATAATAGCCAAGTGGGCAGAAGATGTCTGATGTTGCTAGACAGTATGGTTTGAACAGATCTACAGTAGGCACAATCTTAGCTAAGAAAGATATAATCAAGGAGCCAAAGGAGTAACAAAAATCACATCTGAGAAACAAAGATGTGTCATCCATGAAAAAGTGGAGAGATTGCTTTTAATTTGGGTAAAAGAAAGGGAAATGAAAAGAGATGTAACTAGTATAACTATCATTCAAGAGAAAGCTAGAGAAATTTTTGAAGAACTGAAGAAACAAACTCCACATTTATCACATGAGGACATAGAATTCAAGGCTACCACTGGATGGTTTGCAAAGTTTAGAAGGAGATCTGGCATTAATCATGTAGTAATTCACAGTGAGTCTGCTAGTGCAGGTGAAGAAGCTGAGAAGTTCTGTCTCAAATTTGAAGAATTCATTAAAAAAGAATAATATTGTCTACAACAAATTTTCAATTGTGATGAAACTGGTTTATTTTGGAAGTGCATGCCGAACTGTACCTACATCATGAAAGACAAAAAAATATTCCTGGACATAAACCCATGAAAGACCAATTGACGTTATTTTTGGGAGCTAATGCTAGTGGCGATATGAAACTTATCCCACATCTTGTCTTTCACTTTGAGAACCTTAGATTATTCAAAACAAATTCCATAATTAAAAAAATGCAAGTGGTGTGGAGAATGAATGAAAGGGTATGGTTCTCTTTTCAAAGAATGGCTGTTTGAAGTTTGTGCTCCAAGTATCAAGGATTACCTTCAGACCAATGAATTGCCATTGAAAGCACTGTTGCTATTGGACAATGCACCAGGACACCCAAAAGACCTTGAAGATAATTTGCTGGAAGACTTTCCCTGGCTGACAGTTCAGTTTCTGTCTCCGAATACCACTTTGTTGATTCAACCAATGGATCAAGAGGTTATTTCAGGTTTCAAGAAATTGTACATTCAAGCACTGTTTTGTTTGTGTTTTGAAGCATGCCAGTTCTCCTCAATGATGAAATTTTCAAAGTTTTCTTTCTAAAACGTTTTGATTCTTGATGCTATACAGTTCATTCTTCTAATGTATTACAAGATATACCTCACTATTAACAACATGATAGTCAGGTTCAACGACTGGAAAGTCTATCCAGCTCGAGACCCTGGCTATCGCATCAAGGCTGGTATTATCATCAGGAACAAAAACATTAATGCCTGCCTCGTTTTCCAACATACCACAGAATACATTACCACCATCTGGGTTACAGACAATAACACTCACCTTTACATATGTTACAACCTATTCAAGACTCCACTAACATTGAGATGGCCATAGAAGCCATTCATCATCTCCTGAACAAAGATAAACCTATCCTAATAGGAAGTGACTTCAATGCCAAGCCTGTGATCTGGCATAGTCCAAAAGATGACCCTAGGGGGTAACATAGTTAACAAAACCATGGCTCAACACAACCTTACTCACTTAAACACCAGCACCCTTCTGACCTAATCTTGTACCACGGGAGAAAGTTGAACCTAACATTAGGAAACAGTCATATCACCCCTTGGGTCAACTACTGTTATAACTCACCCTTTTAGGAATTTAAAGGAATTTTAAGATAATTTAAACATATTGTTTGATGCATTCCATATTTGAATTGTACTGGTCAAAAGCCTGAGGAAGACCATGAATATGGTCAAAAACATTGGTTTTATTTAATTTTTATCATTACTGGGATATAATAAGGTTCTCGTGTGTTAATTATCCTTCCCAGTGATTCTGAGAGTTGTTTTTTTTTTCCACTGTTATAACACCGACATAGATTCTGTCAGTGACCATAGGTATATCTTCACTCAACTGAACACTACTAGTAATACTAATAATCATAGTTTTCACTACACTCGCACTAACTGGCAGTATTTCACAACACCTTCAATAACATTTGTGCTGGTATCTGTCACCATAATCACTCTACCTTAGACCATCTTGTCACCAGGCTTACAAATACAATCACTAACTCTTACATTACAATGTTTGAATTTGGAAGCAATAAACACAAAAATGTTTGTTGGTGGACCACTGAGCTAGAAAACAAGAAAATAGTAATTAGGAGATTAAGGAGGCAATTTAGGAATGAACAGGATCCGGACGTTAAAGTCACACTTAAGATTAGTACAGGCACGAACACAATGCTTACAAAATCCTTATAAATCCAAGAAGGTTCAGAAATCCTTCCAAGTGTTAGTCTAACACTTGCAGTTGCAATCCCTGGTCAGAACAGTACTACTTAGCTTGTAAGAAAAAAATGCCAACTCCAAACCCCCTTCACTATCTAGCTCCCAGATGGTCGGTATGTTACCGCTAAAGCTCGAAATCCGTTAATGTGCACATTACCTAGCTAATCTGCACATTAACTAGAGTGATCCGTTAAAGTTGCTAAAATTGTTCTATTTCTCAAATTACCTAGGTAATGTGCAGAGTATCTAGGTAATCTGCACATTACCTACTAGGCACTCGGTAAAGTGAAAATAAGATTTTTGCAGGAACAACAGCAACGTTTCTGTATGCTTAAATTAACATAATGTTATTTGTTTAATTTTCAATATCTAAAGAATCAAGTTAATACAATCAAACAATCAACAAATTAGTTGATTGAATCAATCATCAATCAATTAAAAAAACTTTAATACAAAAATCAAACGGTTTAAAATATTATTACAATTAGGGAAATGAATTTGCAAAACATATGATAAAATTGTACTTACTTATTAGTGCAATCTAAAGATTGGTGACACTTTGAATTACATAGCAATTGGTTTTTGCGACAAGCACGCCTATTTGTGGTACATTTAGATTTGCAGTCACATTTTCTGAAACCCTGCCCAGTACCAAGGGATTGTTTTATTGCTGTTTGACGTAAAGATATTTCTACAGCAGGGACATCCATCTTCTTTCGTTAAAAATCTCTCTTTGCAAACACTGAATTCAGATTTTGCATACAATTGTT